AATGAAATAAAACTAACTTAGCAGTTTATGTTCTTTATCACAAATGTACATACATATATAGTTTTAGCAGTAAAAGAAACCTAATATAAATTTATTATACGTAAGTTTGGTTAAGAATCAAACACTGTTATCACACTTACTGCACATTAATAAAGCTTATAGATTGTTTGTCATAAATGTCATTAAAAATATGAAGACACGGGCGGGACTTGGACCGGTACCACAGTAATCCGTGTTGTCATATTGAACCACCATGTCTCGTCCGTTCATCGTAAAATTTCTTTATCCCATTGATATATTTAAATAAAACACTTTAACGGTTTTTAAACGCTAGTACAACTTATTTGAAAATGATTTTTAACTTCAGCCCGACGTTTCGGATGCTTTGCAGCAGTCGTGGACCAAAGTTCAAATAAGTTTAACTAATATATCGCGTTTTAAACCATTAAAGTGTTTTATTTAAATGTGTACTAGTCGCGTAAACTATAGACAGTATTCCATTGATATATATTTATACGACTCGAGCAATGTAATTTCAACCTATACATATATTTAAATATTAAGATTCAATGTACTATGCTTTGCAGATTAAGAGTGGTATGAATGGTATATTTGACCTGTTTCTAAATCCTGACCCATTCCGTCGTGTGAAAACTAACATTCCATTAATTAATTAGACACCTTAATCTTGTAGGTAAGCCAAGAACACTCTGTTCAAATATAAATATCTTACTCTGTAAGTCGTCCAGTACCAGCATATTGCCAAGAGTTTTCGAATGGACAATACACACTCTCTGGAACGGCGACTGCTCGTCGAATAGAACTGCATCAATGTCATATTCGAGAAGTCTTTCATCTGAAAATGTAGATGTACATATATAATAAAGGTTTCCTGTGCAAGACTTTTACATATAAAAGTTGTTTATTGTCACATCTAATCTAGGCTATAAATATTGATGGTTGCAAACATAATATAAAAGACATCTTTAGTTTAAGACGTTAGTATGCTCCACTTCAGATCACTAGACCCCGGGTTCAAATCCTGGGTGGATGAAATGTTGCCTTGGTTTTTGGAATGCATTTAACAATATTTCTAGTACCATCTCAAAGTTGGAAAGTAGGAGGATCACTCATTACCCCCATATCTGGGATACCACTTTATGATATGGGTCCTGGTTATTACCACTAATTAGGGACTGTAGACATTAAAGCCGGAGTACTGGAGAATTGTCTCTACTGCCAGAGATGTATTCCTAGTAGTAGGAATTTAACAGATTGTGACGAAAACAATGATTTGGTGATGAAGACCAAGGGTAAGCTTTATTTGACAAATTCTATTCTATTATATTTGTTTTTTTTTATGTAGGTATATTAAATGAATACGGTGTGTAAACATGTGTGTGCTGGGATTATAATGCATGACAATTTACTTCATTTATATAGCACAAAATATCATTTATATTGGTTATATATAATATTCAAAATCTAAACATTCAGCATTTCGCGTTGTGACGTGCCAAAGTATGTTTCATCTCAAGATCAAAACCAGGACATCTCATGCTGAATGCAATGCCATGAAACATGTTTAACCTGTAAGCTACAGACACAGTGAAAATAAGATTTATATGTATAAACTTACCTGAGGAAGGAAGGTATCTGTTGAATAAACACCGTTTTAAAGGAGGTAATGCCTGAGATTTAAGCACTGTGACATGTTTTTTCAGCTGACTTTCCAATTCTTTCGCCGACTAAAGAAAATAGGAATACAGGAAAAATAAATAAATCATTGATGCAGGAACACATGCTGAATATTAAAAACTTAAAATATTAGATATAAGGAAATATAACACATTAAATCCTGTATATAAATCAACTCAATGTTCAAGTACAAATATTCATATACAAACAGTCTTTGTAAAACTTGTTTGAAGTACAGACCTTGTTCATTATATGTGTAACAGTTTTACCAGCAGTACAGCAAAAAGGGTACATGTGACTTCACAGATTCTTACTAGAAGACTCATTAAATGTTAAGATTGATACATGCAATATAATATGATAAATTTTATACTTAAAACAAATATATGCGTCATAGGGGTCAAAAATATATTATAAAAAATTTCATAAGCTCCTTTTACATTTAAAACTGACCTGAGCTAGTCAAATAAACATCAAACTTATAACCCCTCTTGATGGGAGGTAGTATCTTAAACCTAAAACATACTAATCTTTCACGAACTGAGTCTTCCAGCTGTTTGAATGTCTAAAACAATTTTAAGTCCACTTTATATTATTACTTTTCTATTGGGGTCACCGATTGAAGTTAGGGTCAACATCGTTTGCTGACCATTCCACCCACTTTATGTTAGAATTTCTTTAAATAATAAAGTTTAATTAAATTGTAAATAATGTTTGCAGTCATTGCTGCCTTCAGAAAGGAAAGAGAAAACTAAATCCGTCCCAAAATAGTATATTAATCCTTATTGCATATACTATGAAATCATACTTCACATTATATAAAATAATTTATGAAGCAATTTTACACGTCATATATGCTGCCGATAAACAAGCGTTCTATTTCAGTGAATTGAACTAACCTTGAAATTGATTAATGGGTCTTCGTTGTCCTCTTTATAATACTCAATATTTACAGTGACCAAGCCGCGATCGAACAATCTTATCGACGCTGTAACACCCTTTTTTGCAGTTAAAATCTTCACAGAACCTCCATCGATACTTATTTCAGCAGCCAAAATAAGATTAGGGAGGTACTCTTTCAACACTGTAACTAATTGTTCGAATACAGCTTTTTGGCCGCTTTCATCGGCTACACGAGCAGCGTCTAAAGAGAAATCCAGTAAAACAGTTTGAACTGACATTATATTTATTCTAATATGATAACTTTGTATATATTATATTCAAAGAATTGTCCAGTAACTCAAGAAGCCGGCTAAAATTGAAAAAGCTGAAGCTGAAGCTGAAAACTGCTAAAAATATGTCAAATGTCAACTCTCAACTGTGCCCTAATATTAGTGTGGCAATACGAAACCGTACCATTAAATACACAGAAATAAAAATTATTATCTAATTTGTATATACACTGTGTGAATTTCACTTCACTCATAAAAAAATAAAAATTTCACATACGTTTTAAGTACATTGAAAAATTCTAAGTATTTAAATTATATCCTTTTTTAAAGGTTTTAAAAAATAAAATAAAATCTGTATGACAGTGACATAATTAAAACTTGCAACACTGAGTGTGTTCATGTCTTTTTTGCAAAAATCGAGGTGTTGAAGATTTTTGTGACATGGCTGGAAATACTACTGAAGAAGTAGAGGTAGTTTTACAATATAAGAATACCTTCATTCTTGTTCAATACCAACTGCGCATACTATTTCATTGAATGAAAAGACAATTTTAGCGAACCCTGCTGATGTGGCTCGACCAACTTTCACTACAGCATTTGTTTCATGTTATTTGTATTTTGGCTAATTTGTCTTAACTAGATCTTTCAAATACTTTGTAACAATCGTTTAAAACTTTTAATTTATAGTATTAACAAGTTAGGCAAGACAGTTTTTGGGAGAAGTCTTAGGTTATATTTGGCTACAATGGCTTGTGTTTTTAAGGGTTCCGCGGGCACGGAAACTAAGACCAACAACAATGCGGAGATTCCTCCTGAATTTTTGATTAAGCACCCATTGCAAAATTCTTGGAGCCTTTGGTTTTATGACAATGATAAGAATAAGACGTGGGAAGAAAATCAGATTGAGCTAACCACTTTTGACACAGTTGAAGATTTTTGGAGGTATACCTTTTCGTTTTTAAAATAAGTTTTATTATCTTAGATAATTTATATATTTTTTTATGATAAACATTTATATATGCATATAGCAATTGTGCATTGGTGAATTTTTCACTGTGTACAAATTTTGGTGCATAACTTGAATTATAAAAAAATATATTTTAAAGTTTAGTATTTATTTAAAGAAATCTTGCTTTTCCTTGGGGTATGAGGGAATTTTTTTCCCTGAGTGCTGTGTAATACACTATCATGGAAAAATGTCTCTGTCCATTACTAAGTTTTGAGAACTCATTTTGACTCTGTTGGGAACGGCAATTAAGACTTGGAAATTTTTGAAAATTTTAGAAATTGGCACACAGAATCAAACACTTTCTAATAATCTTAACTTGGATTTACTTAACCAACAATTTACTAGTCCCTCATTCACATTTCATACCAACGATAAGATTCGTACTTTAAACTCTCTTTCATCTGTGCCAATCCCCACTGCTCCACCGTTCAGCTTCTGTCCTTTCACTGTGATTAAAAAGAACATCATTCCATCACTTCTTAAGCTGTTGGTAGTGATTGCTCCTGTAATTAGTCACATACTAAACATCCTTCCCATCCCTACAAAAATTTTACTTGCTCAGTCTCTCTTACTCCCTATTCTAGATTATGCTGATTCACTGATATAACTGAAGTCCAACTTGACAAACTAGAGCGGCTTCAGAATATGTGTATCTGTTTCATTTTTGGCCTTCGCAAATATGATCAGGTTTCTGAATTTCGTAGAAAGCTTAACTGGCTCCCAATCTGAACTCGTCGGAATTCTTATCTACTCCACTACCGTGTCCTTTTTGATCCTATAACTCCCTCTTATTTAAAAGAGATATTCATCCTTTTAAGTTCCCACCAGTTAAATCTTCGTTTCTATTTGCTCCAATCATTTCATTTTTCACAATTAAAGCTATCCGTCTTTGGAACTCTCATCCCACTAATATTCATACGTTTCTAATTTAAATTAGCTACTTGTTGTGTGTAGTTTCACTATGTACCTTTGATATTCTTTGTTATTCCTTACACCAACCCACTAAATAAATTATTTTCTATTTCTTTTCTCCTGTACTTCAGGTTGCCTGGAAGTGATCGCTACTTAGCGATAAGGCCGCCTTTTATTTACATAAGATTTTTCCTCATTCATATGTATTTTATATTATATATAATAATAAAGCAATAATAAATAAATAAAAATATTTTTTTGTGTAATAAAAAACATTGTGATTACCAAAGGCTCTACCACCACATCAAAGCCCCATCTGAGCTACGCCAGGGCCACGACTATGCTGTATTTAAGAAGGGGATCCGTCCCATGTGGGAGGATGATGCTAACAAAATGGGTGGAAGGTGGCTTGTAAGCCTTGAAAAAAGCAAACGCAACTCTGATTTAGATCGGTTTTGGTTAGATGTTGTAAGTATTACCCCAAAGCTTATTTATAGAGTGTTTTATAATACGATTTCTACTAAAAATAAATAAAACTTTTTTATATTCTATTCTATTATTTTATATTAATATGTTGTAGGCAATTGAAGGATCGCTTGCACCCAAATAACCATATCCTTTCTAATCTCTGTATACCTTGTAAACTTCAGGTGTCTCCAATTTTTAATGTGTCTCCACAAACTGTACAGCTCTCCTGCATCTACAATTTGCTTTAGAAACTTGTTAGTAAATGAATAAAATGTAGACAAATATACAAGTGACACAAAAAAGGGGAATGTTATAGAAATGCTAATATTTTGTCAGGCTGTATACAATATAAAAATTTAAAAGTATTAAAAATAAATGTGTTTTTCAGATCCTTCTATTGATTGGTGAAAATTTTGAAAACCCTGAGGAAATTTGCGGTGCAGTAGTCAATGTCAGAGCTAAAATAGATAAAATTGGTAAGTTAAGTTTTATATGACATATACTATACTCCTATTAAGCAAATAAAGCTTGTTCAACCCCTTAATAATAAACTCTTATTTTTAAGGTGTATGGACAGCTGATATCTCAAAGCAGCAGGCAGTCATTGATATTGGTAGGAAACTGAAAGACCAGCTGGGGATCCATGGTAAGATTGGCTTCCAAATCCACCGGGACACAATGGTCAAGCACTCATCATCAACCAAGAACCTCTACACTGTCTAGCATCCACCATATCCTCCATTCCATCCATCACACCAAACCCTTCAAAATTGTTATGTGGTTTATGTGAAACGGAATGGACTTATTCTCCCGATGCTGTATTGGAAGTAATTGGGATGTAACAATTAATGCTACATGACATTAAAATATTATACCGATGGTTCATACCTAATCTAGGTTTTCAAAATCCCAATGTAGCGTTTATTGGTATTTCCCAAATAATTTATAATAAAGCTTTTTAAATTAAGGATGGTAATTTTAACATCTACTTACTTTAGTTATAACACTAGCGTGGCTTTAGTAAAAGTGCTGGCTAAAGTCTGCAGAGCTGCCAAAATAAATGAAACCTATATTACTTTCCCATTACTTGACGAAGAAAAATTACTTACAAGTTGATGAAATCCTATATTATTTTAATGACTGAAAAGATAATTTTGCGTTGTTTTGACTGTTGTATCTCACTGTCTGTCAAGTAACATTTTTGGTTTCTGAAATGTAATTACACTTGAGATTTCACAACTGGCAAGCAAGTTTTTCTCTTTGAAGATGGGGAAATCTGGGGATAGCTGTCAAAATTATCGTCCACAATTTGAACATTTTTTAGTACTCCGTGATAAGTATTGTACATGAGCTGTTATTAAATTTTTAAATGTAAGTGGATGTTCTGCTAAACATACACTAGGATTTAATATTTCATAATTTCTTCTATACTAGAAAAGTTAAGGCAGGAAGGTAGTGTGATAGAGATAACACAATAACTACCAATAAGACGAGTATGTCAATATTTATTGCCGGGCACTGTACTATGATGCAATGTGTATGTCCATACGTTGCTCTAGTCTGTCACATTATTCGAGCTGTTCCTCCAATATTTTGATCTCCTAAGTTGTGTTCTGTTAAAATAAAAACCGATTGAAACTATTGGAACTGTGGCTGATATGATATAAAGTTGTATTTACATTTCATAATATCTCTCTGAGTTTTTGACTCATACAAGTGTGAAAGTAACTGTGTGTTTGTTGGTGATTCTCACTGGTGTTCAGGTATTCCCCGATCACTGTTTTTAAATATGGATTTGTATCAAATGAACTGGGTTGACACTAACTTTCTAAAGGTGATCGAGGTTCTGTGAGTCCAGAGGCAAGAAATAGCAATCTGAAATCCAGTGCTAATCCCATATAGATGTAAGTTTGTATTTACTCATTAAGGGCTAGGCCAAATTAACGTGTTGTTGATTGTAATACATGTATATTAGCTCTAATACATTAGCTTTTGTAGCACCCCAACCGTTTTTTAACTAAGGTATCGTTCCCGCATTGTTTCAAAACCCTCTGTACTTGATAGTTATATTTTGGTAATTCATATAAAAGTACTAAAGCACCATTTGTTTTTTATTTATTTGTTCCCGAATAGCATTGTTGCTTATTTTTTTAATGCAACACTAAGAATATAGGTGTCTGTGAATTATGTCAAACACGTTTTTGAACATTTGTTTGATTTGTATGCATTTTAATGTTTTCATAAGGCATAGGAACAACCAATAATTAATTATGCTTTTACTTAGATCAACAACCTTACCATTATTGAAATTTTTGCGGTATTGCTAGATGCAAAAAATAAACTTTGATTTATTACTAGCTTCCGTCCTCGACTTTGTCCGCGTGGAGACTTTGGACTAGTTAAAGGTTTTTGCGATGCCAAGCTGGTCTTACATCTTTCTAAAACAAATGAATATTTTTCTGAAACATACTAGATTTCACAAATAATACAAAGATAAACCTAAGGTTTGCGTTATTCGGTTTAACAAATGTATTTTTAATTAATTAAACATTCATTCAAAAATATATATTTGTTTGTAATCAAGCATTTAAGTGTGTATAAAAACACACCACAGTTAAAAACCATTTTGATTGTAATATTTTGTTATTGGGCTTATTGTGGAAAAGCATTTAAAAAAATCCTTTTACCTTTTACTATTACTATAAATTATTTGTTATATACTTATCAAATATATATATATATATATATATATATATTTAAATATATTTGTTATATATATCAAATTTTATTTATGTAGTTATTTGTATTTTTAAACTTAATTATCTAATCTTTTCTATCTATTAATAATGAATTACAAACAGCAAATATTACATTAAGAGTAATTGTCGCTGATGATTAGCTAATAATTAAAATTTTAAAAAATGAATAAAAATATTGCTTTAGATTACCTTAATTGTTCGATTTAGTTATTAATACAATTTTGACGTCGATCAACATATAGAAATATTTTAAAGATAGCAACATTAATTGCGCGATTTTCATTACTGTATCAACTTAAAAGTTTTAAGAGTTACTTGTGATGCGAATTGAAGTGTGTAAGAACGTTTTAATATTTATTGATCGATGTTATAATTGAGAATTGATTCCACATTAGAGAATTTTACAACACGTTATGAATAGTAGTTGAGTTTAGTTGCGTAGTGCTGATAAGTGATATAACCTTAAGAGGGGAATCCCCATTTTATAGTTATATTCACTATCACACTAAGTTGTGAAAACTTAATAACAGTTTTATATATCATTATAGTGTGTTTTAACAAAATGGGAAAAAAGAATAAGGGCGTAAGTATTTTATGTTTAGTAATGTTTTTTAGTTTAATTCTATTAATAACAGTAGAAAGGAATACTGAGAAGTAAACCTCGAAATTATACCTTGAAAGGAATAATTAAGATAACATATTTTTTTAGTGTGTTGAGTAAGAGTAGTATAAATTACTCTTAAATAAAGGAAAACTTACAATAAAAACAAAATAGCTTACAACTAAAACAGGTAAATCATTCTGTCTGTAGTTTACGCGACGTTTAATTACACTTTAACGGTTTAAAACGCGATATATTTTAAACCTGTTTGATAATTATTTTTTAACTACGGCCCGACGTTTCTCAAATAAATCATTAATCTGCTCCTCAAAAAGAAGACACTCAGTAAATATATCATAATAGCTGTGTCGTGCTATTTCACGCCTGAAAAACAATTTTTTTAAATTTGTTTTTGCAAACCTCATCCTTGTCAATCATAGCTGTTACGACGTCAGTCGCGTCCCGTAAGTAGTTCTTGCAAATAAATCTTAAAAACTTGACATATAGTCGCGGACATTTTTTTTAGATCATTATAGAAGATTTTCTTTTTGGTAATTTGAAATTAAGTAATTTGAAAATTTCGCAACGCACTGAAGGGAAACACTCAAAACATGAATATTTTTCCACATTTCTTCCTTATTGGCTTCCCTCCTATTGTCTGTTCTGATGTTTTATAGTCTTAAGCTCCCTTGATAAATGGTCTATCTAACACAAATAATTTTTCAATTTGTACCAGTAGTTCCTGAGGTTATCGCGTACAAACAAACAAATTCTCCAGCTTTATAACATTATAGTATACTCGTAGGTTTTAAAACTGTCGGTGGTCTTAAGTGTCACGAAAATTTCGCAGCAATAAATGTATACATGTTACTTTTTCGAAAATCTTCATACATATAAGCATATAAATATGCTTCAAAAGTTTCATTTTTTCGCAAATAGCATCGCAAAGGGCAACATACATTTTATCACTTTTTACGCACAACTAGCACTAGGTACTACAGCTACCAATGAATAGGCACTACTTTTATGTACGGGCGATAGCTATTCGGTAAATAAATTTTAATTTCTTGTGACTCTAGCAGAAACTAAAAAAGAACTAATGTATTTCGTATTGAACACTTTTGTTTAAATAAATATTTATCATCCCAAGAGCTCCCAACAGTTGGGGGATCTTAATATGCCACGCTGTCATGTATTTTAGCAGATGGCTTATGTCAAAAAGTATTAAGACGACATTTACTTACGTACTCTACGTGAGGTGTACAAAGCTATATTGGTCTGGTCATGTCTGCACCTGCTTTGGAGGAGCAGTTCCAGTCGTGTGAACTGTTATATGGTTGACGATTAAGTTGACACACATCCTTTTTAGAAACAAACAAACGTTGAGGAAAATGTCGTCGTTTCCCCGGCCGACCTCAAGCATCCTCTAGAATATTCTTGGAGTCTATGGGTGTTTCTGAACGAGAAAACATCCTGGGAAGACAACTTGGTCCGCGTAGCCGGGTTCAATACTGTTGAAGACTTTTGGTGGTAATCGTTTTTTGCTTTTTATTTTGATAGTAAAATTTACGCGGCAAACGCTTCGTTCGCTGATTGATTTTATATAGATTACCGCGGCTTCGAGCTCTGCCAACTTGAAGAAAATTTATGTACATATTACCACAGGTCAATGCAATAAATTATTGTGGTGTTGCATTTCATGGGATCTAGGCAATCCCAGAACCTCGCCATGATAAGAGAAAAGGTAAGGAAGGAGGTTGTTATAAGTAAAGCCATTTACTAATTGTAGAATAAAAATATTCTCGTAGGTAGCTAGGTACAGGTTTCACAAGAACGTACGTCGATACATTTAAAAATTAAAAACTCCAAATTTTACATTTACTGCCAGTTAATTTGCCTTATTAATTTGGGACAGCTAGCTTGCCAGTTCTCGTTTGTTGTACGCCGTAGAAAATATCAGAAAAAACTGGCAAGAAACTCGCCGCCACTCTTTTCATCGTAAATTTTTTTGTTATAAGTTTCATGCACTTAATGTGTACATTTCCTTTTTTGTTAGAGCGGATTTCTCCAAACCCTATGCATTGTTATCATTTAAATATTTATTTACGTTATAATAAACTTCATTACATTATAATTGTGTCAATGAAGTAATTTCAGAGAAAAGGAACACCTTTCTAACATTTAGCACACGGTAGATACTTGTCTCGTCTACTGAATAATAATAAATATTAATTCTTTGTTTATAAGTAGTGACACGATTCTCAGAAGGTGTTTGTAAACAGGAAATATCCAATGTCTACGTACGTTTGAGAGTTGATAGGAAATTATCAAATGGTAAAAAAGGAAGTATTCGTAATTATTATTTCGATTGCATACAGATAAGTTATAATCATATATAATTATTGTTTGGAAAAAGACTTCGCATCAACGGAGATAATATGTGATATTAACAATTAGACAAGGAATAAAAAAGTTTCGTTCCCCAGAGGTAAAAAGGAAACTCTAGATGCCAGTTTGTAGGTATGTATCTGCTTACATCAAAAACAGCGAAATCTAGAGTTGTAAATTTCACAAATCGCGTATTTCTGTTTCTGCTATAATAGTAAACTCTACGAGGAACTCTTACCTACTTTAGCTTAAAATTGTTAAACAGTGTACTTTGTTAACACTACGGAACTATTCCTCCGAGAGTACGATTCGTTCTTGGCCGATTTACAAAAGCAAGTTCTTATTTGAATGTGATTTTAACCTATGAATTAGATTTGAAAACTATAATATTTTTTACATGTTATTACACATGATGGCAACATGATGAAAATTCGATTTTAAATTGACGACACGGGCGGGACTTGAATACGAATCCACAGCGTTCTGCGCTGTTGCCTATTGAGCTACCGTATCCTACGTGACGTCATCGTTTAATTTTTTCAAACTATTGATCTGCATCTCTGCATGCATCTCTCGCAATGCAATTGAAGCTTTCTTTAAGTTTGACTTATGATTTGCAGCGTAAGATAGTCATTAGATTGAAATTACAGAGTTTAACGTTTGCGCACGTTAATATGATTTTTCATTAAATACATAAACATTGTAAAACGTTATAAAAAGTAAACATTATTATATAATCGTAATAAGAGGGGGGCGTCTACATCGGGTTGGACCGCCGCGATGCGGGTGCGAGCTTGAAGAGCTGGACGGAAGCTCACCCGGGGAAGCGGTACGCGGATCGAATGGCCTCGCCTTCGCTGGCGAAGGCGGTTTCCCGGACGATTGGAGCCGGCACCGACGAGTGTATGACGGCTTTGGTTAAGTCATCGTCGGGGTCGTAGGAACGTTTCGCGGCCTTCTCCAGCACCTATTGACGGAAAAAATTGTAAATAATGTCGACATGAGCGAAATAAGATTAAGAATGCGCTACTGTTTTTTTTTTCTAGTCTATATCACCATACGAAATTGCCTACCGAGTTGAAAACGGGACAGGATTACCTCATCTTCAAGGAGAGCATCGAACCGATATGGGAGCATCCGGCAAACAAAAAAGGGGGGCGATGGATTATCAATTTCGATAAGTCTAAGATATCTCTTGATACATTGTGGCTGCAATTAGTAAGTATTCTGTCATACAATTTTAATGTTGCCAGTTCACGTTTGTTGTTATAATAAATGTTTTCATAAGAAAAGCTAGGCTTACAAGTATTGCCAGAGGCATGTAACAAAATAAAACAGTAGCCGGTTGGCGGGTGTGACAATCAGTTTTTTTTTTATGTTCTTAGTTAAATGTGTGTATTTTTTTTTCTTTTAGACCTTGCTCATGATCGGTAACAATTTGGTTCACAATGACATAGTCTGTGGTGCTGTTGTTAACAGTCGTACTAAATCTAAAATTTGTAAGTTAAAGTTTTGTTAAGTAATTATAGATGTTTACGAGAACGGACAAGCATAAAGTATAAAGATGAAGAAAGGCGAAACAACCCAGTTCCTAACATTCTACATTTCCTATCGACCTTCTCGTTTACACTTCACAGGTCTTCATCTTTGTATGATGGTGTCGTTACTAGTACTAGATGTTCCAGATAGTTTCAACTTTCAGAAATTATATATAATAGTATAGCAACACGTCGGACTGGTAGAAATCGAGACCTCGACCCATTGCTTTTTGAAAGAAAGAAAAATGTGTTTATTGACACAAAGATAATAATAAAATACAAAATGACAAACAAAATCTTATAACTAATAATTATGATAAACTTTGTGGAAACCGGGGATTCAGAATCAGCTGAATGCTGTGCACGAAGGAAATCGCACAACGCTGTTTTTCAGTCTGTTAACCATTAGCCGTAAATTAATACCATTTCTGTTTCCGGCCGATGTATTTTAAGTATTACATTTTCCTGAATTTTAATTTAGAATCTTCACTTCATAAATAAATAGAATAGTTGTATTGAATATATATATTATTTACTTTGTAAACAACCTCCTGAGTTATTCTCAAAAGATACATAAACTGTCGCGGATTTCTTTTTAATATTTAAAGAAGAGGCATTATTTCATATATGTTTTTGTTTGTTGATCCGTTTTAGCAGCGCACGCGCCGGAAACCCTCAAAGATGAATTAAGTTCCCCGTTTTTTTACATTTCCCTGTTACTTCGATCCTATGGCAGTCTGGTGTTTTTATCTAATCAAGTCTGCCTCAATGAATGGTCGAGGCAAACAAATATATAATAATTTTTCAATAAGAACCATTAGTACCTGAGATTAATGCGTTCTATCAAACAAACTGTTAACCTATTACATAGATAATATAATATATAAGTAATAATTCGTTTTCAGCCCTCTGGTTGTCCGATGGTTCCAGTACCAAGAAACTGTGTGCTGTTGGCAAAGAATTGAAGAAACAGTTAGGTCGTATCATAAAATTAAACTTCCATTTGCATACGTCCTCGAGTAACATGTTAACTCTCTAGATCATTATGTTAGTTTTAAAAACTTTTAAACTTTTTTATACACTTTCTACGTTTATGGTTTTAGAGGTCTATTATCTGTAAAAATGTTGATGGTATCTGTCAAAACTTGATTGTTCACCATGCCATTAAATATTGTTAAAAAAAAAACTTGATTGTCAATTATGAAAAAAAAAACTATTTAATTAAGGGTTTTTATATATGTTTTAATATTACAGCAAGTATAAGCGAAGATGATTGTTACTTTTAAAGAAATATAAATTGTTTCTTTGACGTTCATGATTCTTGAAAGAATATATATGTTTGTACCTTATTTTGTTTAAAGTCTTGTTTCCTTATTAAGATTTTATTTTAGGTTTAAATGAAAATTTTAATTTTGATAAATTATGTACCTAGTTAAAATATATTATTATACCAGAAGTTACGATAGTACCAATATAACTCAATGAATTATTGATGGATAAGTTATTTTTTTATTTTAAGAATATAATTACTGTTATTTTGTAGAAGGTATCTTAAATTTAAACAATTTTGTAAAAATTAATTATACATTTATATTATAAAAATTGCATTTATTTCTTTTTGAAGTGGCTGTATCTACCACAAACACCTAGGTAAAGGGTTCCCAATTGTCTTGCTTTTATAATATTGAAATGTTTTAATTCATTCCAGTAGATCAGTATAACTTTCCTACGTTCAAACTTAAACGATTGGTATAAAGTTAGATACACATGGCACATATACCGAGGTCCTCGTTGGACTTCGTCTCTTAAAAAAGTTATTTAGACATCAACATTTGTTTTTACAAACCTCCGTAACTCTATAAATTCAATTATGAATGTCGTCCTTAAAAGTCGAATCTTATATAATGTTGCGGGCATTTTTTAAGATCAATTTAAGAGAAATCATTCTTTCAAACAAATTTTTTGGGCATCTTGAACCGTTTTCGCAGCGTCAGTAACGGAAACCCACAAGGATTAATTTTCGCCCTTTTTTTCCAGTTTTCCCGTAGTTCCTTCACTCCAATTATTCGCATCGCAATGTTTACATAGTCTATAGCTTTTCTCAATAAATTTTCTAACCAACACAATTTTTTATAAGTTCGAATCACTAGTTCCTTTACCACTCTTCAGCTTTATTATTATAGATGTATAAAAGCGGTAATTAATTAATAATCAGTATCAATGTTAAAAATTTAATGTCATAGACCGAAGCCTATAGAATGTTGCACGTTCTTGAGTTTGTTTGGTTGCGTATTTCTGTTTCAACTGTTTCCTCCATTTTGTGAATTGTCTCCTCTGCACCGTCTATGCCTTTGTGTACGTTCTCTAAAATAAGAACGAAAAAATTATTTAAAACACATTTGAAGATTTTGCTCCCTACTACAGTGACCTAGACCAAAAATTACAAACTATTAAATTAATACAACAAGTTTACAAATATTTTAATTTTTTTTTGAAAGACAAGCATGGTAAGTGAAGCCCTTGATGGTAGGTGAAGTAAATCAGTCATATAACTGTTAAAAGTGGTTCGGTTAAAATTTCGGTATTCCTACCACTCATTTAACATTTGGATTTCCAGGCGAAATCCAATTTAACCTTTAAATTGATTAGAAAAATGGTACCGGGTGGGATCGAATCGACCCGTTAATAATAATTATTCTAACGTAAATACTGTCTATAGCTTACGCGAGTGGTACACATTTAAATAAAACACCTTAACGGTTTAAAACGCGATATATTAGTTAAACTTATTTGAAAATGATTTTTAACTTCGGCCCGACCTTTCTCCCTTGACCAGCAGCTGTCTGCGGACAACGTCGGGCCAAAGTTAAAAATCATTTTCAAATAAGTTTAACCAATATATCGCGTTTTAAACCGTTAAGGTGTTTTATTTAAATATCCTAACTTATCTTAATGACTACTGCTAAAATAACCTTAAACCTTACTTAAAAGATTTTTAACACGCACAATGTTTCTAGTATAGATATGAAACTAAATATTACTTAATAAACTACTTCATACCAGTGACAGTTTCCTCAATGACTTTCCCTTTACCCATACAAGAGTTTTCCTTATCTCGTATCGATTGGAATATGCGAGAAAAACGACCCTTCTCCTCCTTATTTACCACCACATCTTCCTGGTCAATATGGTCCTCACTCCTTACGATTGGCATAACCGCTTGAGTTTTCGTTTTAGCAGGACTCGACTTGTCAGACCCACATGGTATAGTTTCGTTCTCAGATTGACCACCTTCACTCTTTTCGTCACTGTGTTTACTTAAATTCGGACTCATATGGGAGATGTCCGGAATATCCAATAGATCCTGGATGATGGGAGTTTTTGGTGGTGGCGAGTTAGTCACCTCTGTCCGCTTATCTGGAACCTCCAATTTCTTCTCACAATGGAAACCAGGGTCTATATTTGCTACTGTCTTAGTGAATACTTCTTCTACCTAAAAATAAAGAAAATGTTGTTTGTTTGTCTTTCATCAAATAATCTATGCTGATATTTAAATTAACGCATCAGCTTGTTGCCGGTAAGTTAAAATACTCTCGGAAGATAAAAAAGACTAAGGTGAACACTGTAAGCACAGCTAATATAACTATAATTCCCTTTGCACGCTTAAAAGGGCTTAGCGTAAGCTACGGCCACGTGCTCTTCCTAGGCCGACGCTTGCTTACCTGTTTGATATTACTACCCGTAGTTTCTTTAACTGTGTGCACGATACTTTCGATTTGTTCATTCGGTTTGTCCGCTGCGTGTTTCACGTCTTCCAGTAATTTATCTTTTGTAATTACAGCTTTCTCAGCTATTTCCGTCATACCTTTTTCTACAGTCGATGTCATGTCCTCAATAGACGCATCTGCTTTTTCCACAGCAGTTTCGACACTAGTATTTGCTGTGGCGATTACATTTTCTATAGTGTCATCTGTCTTGTCTTGTACATCCTCTTTTAAGTCTGGTATATCATGAATACTGTTAGTTTCGAGATCGTTTATATTGACAATATGCGAGCCACTTACGTTAGCTTCTAACGAATCGATAGACGCGATGTCATCTCGATTTGTGGTCTCGTCGGGTTTAGGCGTGTCAGTTTTCTCTTCTTTCATAACGGGTACTTTTTGTAATGGAGGTAGTTCTGTTATGGATACGGGTCTCGGTTGGTTGACGATGAAGTCGTTGTTTGTGAAGTCGGCGTTGGAACCCTTAGTGGCCGTTAGTAGCGTGTGGCACCCGCCGCATGCCACATTGTCGACAATGAAGCCATTCATAGCGCTGACCCGCTTCGGTGTGTATTGATTAGGGAAATCGTGCGAGTTGTCGGCGTCGATTTCGTCCAAACAGAGTTTGTTGTGGCGCGACTCGCCGCACGTGTAGAGCAACCCATTGTCTGTAAATTATTGAAATATATATTTCTTAGTCTGATAGAAATAGGAGATAACAAATAAACGAGATGAAATTTAGAGATATATTATAGAGATTACGCGCTAATTATTTCGGGCACTTAAAAATATATTTAAAATAACCACTAATACGAGTAATTAAGAAGGACTCATGGGTGGAATTAATTCTTATAATAGGAGTTTGTGAAACAGAATTAAAAAGATGCCTACTCTCTTAGCGCAAGCTTTTATATTACGACGGTAAGGGGGAGGGAGGTAAACTAATTGTAAGCGAGACATACAGGACAGAGAAGGACGTTTGGATAGCTATAATCTAAATAAACCAACTCTAGCCTATATTGTTTTGTCACCTGTGTTTATATTTGTCTAGATAAATTGCACTTAATGTCTTTATAACTTTTTTAAGCTTTTTGTATCGGTTTTTGAATGATTTTTTTGTTTCTGTCTTATATTGCTGCGATTTCGTCCGCGTAAAATAATTATTTTGGGCATCAAAATTTTGTTTTTGCAATCCTGATCTTTAGTATTTTTAGCTGTGACCCACCACATGTGTGTGAACATCGCCCGCATCCCGTCGCTCTTGCAAATAAATCTTCATAAATAGAAATACTGTCGCGGATTTTTTTTAGATCGTTTAAAGCTGAATTTTTCCACATTTCTTACTGTGTCTTTACTCCTATTGGTGGTAGCGTAATGTTTTATACCTTAAAGCCTTCCTCAATAATACTCTAACCAAACAAAAAAACAATTGACAATTCGACCCAGTAGTTCTTCAGAGTACGTTCAAACAAACTCTATAGCTTTATAATATTAATATAGGCAAGTTACCTGTGACAAAAGCAGTGTGCATAGCTCCACACGCAACCAATTTCAACTGGTAACCATCGAACATTTTGTCCATATTGATTTCCGTCGGCTCTCTCACGAACTCTGTGCTTTTAGGCATGCCCAGCTGTCCATTCTGGTTCGAACCGAACGCGAATATTTTCGTCTCGTCCATAGACAAGAGAAACGTGTGATTCGCACCGCAACACGCGCTTTTTATTCCTGTAGGGATAGGCAGGACTTGAGGGGCGAAGACGGTGGTTGCGTGCGAAATTCCCAACTTTTCGTTTTCGTTGTCGCCAGTTACGAACACGGCGCCTTTTTCTGAAGCAAATTTACATTTTAGGCAGGCTGATCTAGTAATGTATTTACGTTGTATCTTTTTTATTAATATTTAACCTTTAAGATTATTTTGAGCCTTTAAAATATTTTTAATGAACACTTAAATTAAGGCCGATTTTTAACCGAACATTAGATTTTCTATATGAATAAAATTGATACACACACACACACACATTGCGTTTACTTTTCAGACCTCGCTTCTAATACGGGGAATTAAGTTAATTGCCTGCAAGGGATACCTGAAAGGAACACAAAAATGTGTTGTCCCCATACTCCACGGAGGATGTGGGAATTATAATTCAGTTTCTTCGGCTCGGGGGTGTGAAAAGAGATATTTGTTAATTATTAACAACTTATTTCAAGCGAGGTCAGTCGTTTCAAACGCTTTGCATCAGTCGTGGTCACGTGGTCCCCCGGTATTATGGTAAATTGAAAATAAGTTAACAAATACATTTCGCGTTTTAAATCGTTAAAAGTGTACTAAAATGTGTGCTACTCGCGTAAACTACGGATGAATCTTGAAAAGAATTTTAAATAAAAAAGGACCTCTCAATCTTTGCCTTGTTTTTGCAATCCGTAATTTAAAGTAACTTACCAGTTATAAACACGGTGTGGTAGTAACCGCATTCGACGAAAGAGATCTTCTCCATAAACTTGAGTTCAGTGAACTTCAGACAGTGGCGTGTGTCTTCACCCAAACCGAGCTGACCTTCGGTGTTGGACCCGCACATGAAAACCCGCCCGTCATCTGTATAAAAGAAATATGTTTAAGACTTTAAATATATGAAAATAATATATGTGTTTTGAACTTCAACAATAGTTTATTTTAACTTCATTAAAAACGAATTTAAAAGCGTGTTTTTATATTTTATTAATCACTAACTATACTTTAAAAATCATACAAACAAGAAGGACTAAATTAAAAAGAAATATTTAAAAATAGTTTAACAATTAAGAGAATAATTTCATTAACTTAAATTTATCGACATCACATTAAATAAATTAATTAAAATAAAATAAACAATAAACAAAACTAAATTGTTAATACGATTATATTTCACCTGTAAGTATTGCTGTATGGTTACTTCCGGCCGACACTTGTCTGATTGGCCGTTCGACTTCCAGCTCTATATATTGTGGGACAGTGTGTTGCTCCATGTCCCCCGTCCCAAGCTGCCCCTCATCATTACAACCCACAGAGTATATCGCGTTCGTATCTATATTTTTTAAATGAATACTATATTAGTTGAGATGATAATGAGAGAATGATAGTAGTGTATGTCTAATAATCAACGTGACGTGGGTTCGACCCTCACCGGGTGCAACATTGATTGTTCTGAAACATGTTGGACTTCGTCTAGAAATCCAAATAGAATGGAGTTAAAAGGGGTGGTATGAAAATCGAAATTCCGCCCAGGTCCCGAACCACCGTCCACGGATGAAAAGGTCACGAAGTTAATCGCGTTTCGGCTTCAGTCTATAGATTTCCGAATATCCAAAAAACAGGGCAGCGCATCTTGTTTTTATGTTATATGGCTGGGGTATTTCACGTTCGTCCCCATGCTTGTCCTTGTTAAAAAGACTAAAGTCTATCTAGCTACTTCTTTAATACAATTAAATTATTATCCTTTTTGCTCAATATATTACTTTCTAATATCTTTCTTATATGCCTTGTCTAACTCTTATTTTATATACAAAAAAATACCCTCATAGTTTCGTTGTTAATGACATAAGGAAGTCCTAAGTTCGAATCTATAAAACATTCATTTCAGGTTTACAAATATCTATATATTTGTTTGATAATTTAATCTTCATACCTGTAACAAATATAGTATGCGCGCGCCCGCAAGCGACGAACATAGTCCGATGGGGTTTGAGCCATTTGACACAACTGGGTCTTGTCACTTCGTCCTTATGTCCCAAGCCCAGTTGGCCCCAAGCATTTGCACCGAATACAAACACACGACCGTTCTCTGCAAAAAGAAATGTAAAAATACCAAAGGAAAACATAAGATTTATTTTAAACAGTATGAAACGTGTTAAAATTAAGTTTGTTTACGTGGGTAGTGTACATTTTAATAAAACATATTTAACGGTTAAAAACACGAAACGTATTTGTTATAGTTATTTAACTTCGGCCCAAAGTTTCGCCGTGTCCACGTCCGCGATTTGTATACGTTTAAGTAAAACGGTTTTAATACGATTGTAATACGTTTAAGTAAAACGGTTTTAACGGTTTAAAACGCGAAAAGTTCGGATGCTTTGCAGCAGTCGTGGTCACGGGAAGACACGGTATACTATAGTCGTTAGTAGATATAAAATCTGTATTGTCTAATTATGTTTTGAAGTAGATACGATAAGCTTAACTCCCAAAACTCGACGAAGAAGTGTATAATCTAAAGAAACTGTTCAATAATTGTGTGTTTTATGGTAACTAACTTACGGCATATAACAGCACTATGTTCATCCCCACAGGATATAGCGACAATTGGATCGTTCTTAATGAAGAAATGACTCGGCTCATTGTCCGCAAAATGAGATCTGCCGAAGGTGAAGACGGCGCCCGTTTCTGAAATTAACCAATGCAAGATTAAATAAAACACTTTAACGGTTTAAAACGCGATATATTAATTAAACTTATTTGAAAAATGTGTACTACTCGCGTAAACTATAGACAGTATTTTTATGCAAGATTATTTAAAAAAATAGCTGTCTTGGCCGTATAAGTATTTGACAAAATTTTATTACCATAAAGACTAAAAGATAGACATTTATTGTCTCAAATATTTTTTAATAATACGGTATTATAATTCTTCTATACATATTTTTGGGTATTTTAAGCCAAACCATCAAAGATGGATAATTTTCTCCTTATTCCCGCATTACCCACTGCTTTTTCGCTCGAATTGGTAGCGACCTGTTATTTTCATAGCCGAAAACCTTTCTCGATAAATGTTCCAACAAAGATAAAGAAGTTTTAAATTGGAACCAGCAGTTACTGAGATTAGCGCGTACAAAAAATAACAACAAAATTAGTATAGAATTATATGGAATCAAAGCCACGCGGTACGAGCTTCCGCAAAACTAAGAACTAAAAAGCCTACCAGAAAACTAACAAGTTATATATTTAATGTCAAAAACTAGCATTACAATAATGCGCTACTTTAAGTCTTGTATATAATATTTAATGCAACTCAATTTAGTGGTACTTATGATTGAGTCAAAATGTAACTTTCTTTATATTAAAACTCTTCATGGATACACAAGCAATAAAAAAATACATATGTTTCACAATAATTCTAATGATCTTATCGCAAATAACGTTTTAATTTATTCATCCGCAAAACATGTATATTTATTACGCTTCTGACGTCATAAAAGTTCTATGAAAATGACTATTCTTTTACGGCGTAGCACTTTCGTAGCATTAGCTACGATAAATCGTAGCACGAGGCAATTATTGTGCCAAGTTTAGGAACGTTCGGCAGGCAGTTGAAATACGAGGTCAAGCTATGTCTATTATTATACTCATTTTAAGGAGCTGTTTCTCCATAATGGCTTCACCAACAGCAGCAATGTATAGCCAACAATCAATGTACTGTAGGTTCGATTATCATTAATGCAATGTGCTTTTTAAATGTTTTTAACGACAGAGGAGGACAGACAAGCACGGATTTAATTTGGTGGAAGATGAAATACCAGAGCCTACAATATGTGCTCCCTTTTGACTTTGGATATACGAAATCCACAGACTAAAACCGGAACGCGAATGGACGCGAGTGCACGGTGCGCCCACATAGTCAGATTAGCCAGATTTCCGGTCTAACATGTTTCAGAAAAAATATAAATTGGTTAAAGATATGGACCTGGTGGGCATAGAACCTATGAACCGTTGAATAATCAATGGGTCGTGACTTCGAGCCACACATTGCTGCCATTAGAGCAACAAACTAGATTTCGTTTAGCAAATCTAACAGACAGTGTATTTCGTTTAGATGTTACATGCATGGGATATTTTACTTTCCAATAAGTGAACCATATCTTTGTCTGTCCTATATTAAAAAAAAAATCTTATAAATATATTCGAGGATCTATAAATGAGAATTTTAAACCTACTTAAATGGAAGATCAGAATAATGGAATCTCAGTTATTGGTATATAGTTTCGACACAGCTTTTTTAATTCTATCCTTTCGTTTAAATAAAACACTTTAACGGTTTAAAACGCGATATATTAGTTAAACTTATTTGAAAATGATTTTTAACTTCGGCCCGACGTTTCGGATGCTTTGCAGCAGCCGTGGTCACGGGGAGTCTCCCCGTTAAAGTGTTTTATTTAAATGTGTACTACTCGCGTAAACTATAGACAGTATTTAATTTATGTATTTCCTATGTTTGTCTATGCAATGCGATAATCTGTAAATCGTTGTTTTCCTCGCTGTGTCATAGATATCGCGTTTTAAACCGTTAAAGTGTTTTATTTAAATGTGTACTACTCGCGTAAACTATAGACAGTATTTACTATCCTATCGTGTTCAGTTAAGTACTTTTTCAAGTAGTACGCTAAACTGGCTGCGTACTATTACCTAACAATTAGCATTATTCAAGGCTCAAGTAATTTCTCTTGACCTTGTCAAGGTGACTTTTAATCAGACGTCTGCAGATTCATTTGTGTGATTACAGCCAAAATTAAAGTTGTAATGCCAGCATTAATTCATGTCAAACAACAATGCTCTAAAACAAAGTTTAAATCTAGTTCTTGAGTTATACTCATAAAGCTACTCAAGCTTTGACTGTAAAAAGCTGTTATATTATTTTTAGTAGCGTCGTTAAAAAGAGAGTCATTCAAAAGTTTTCCCTCATGGGGCTATGAAACGGATACATTTCTGTGTCCGTTTTATAGGTCGGTTCTTTTACAGGCAAGTTCGTCAGACTCTTGTGCCTTGCCTGACCGAAACAATCTATTGCTTCCTCGGAATTCGAACTAAGGACCAGTGACGCTTAACTAATGACGCTTAAATATTAACGCAATTCTAGGCAACACGTTTAAACGGTAAAATGGTTAACCATTTGGTTACAGTTTCGTAAAGTTTACTTAAAATCCGAGGTTTGAAGTTGAGTTGGTATACATTTAATGATGAGTTAGTAAATACGTATTACACGGTATAAAGCTAAAAAATAAAATAGCTTTTCTTCCTTTCAGATTTAAAATGGCTGCTAGACAGAAACCAATAATTCAATAGCTGTTCTATTCAAACGATGTGTTTAAACTATTGTATGGATGCAATTATCAATTTTAAATCACAATGACTATCTATACTTTCGCACTACATTACTAATATATAGAGCTGAAGAGTTTGTTTGTTTATTTGAACGCGCTAATCTCAGGAACTTACGAGTTTGAATTAAAAAATATTAATATAATAATTATTTTGTGTTGGTTAGAACATTTATCGAGGAAGGCTATTATAGGCTATAAAACATTGCCCTGTGACTAATACAAGCTAAGATGCAGCGTGATGTGTGAAAAAAAAAATAGAAAAATTATTCATCATTATGGGTTAGTGAGGCCTACGCTGCAAAAACGGTTCAAGATACCCAAAAAATATGTAAGAAAGAATGATTCCTCTATAAATGATCTAAAAAAATCCCGACTCTATACGTCTATCTTTTAAGATTAACTTGTAAGAACGACAGGAAGGGACGCGACCGACGTCGTGGGCTAAACAGCTTATTGCAATATTCTTAGCGGACGAAGTCGCTGGCACAGCTAGTTAATTATAAGAATAGTAGTATATATGCATTGATTATTGCCTAAGAAGATTGAGCGTTCTCATCCTAAAAATAATTGCACACAAAGACACAAGTCTCCATAAAAGTTAACTACACTAAGATGTTTTAAATAAATGACTTTACGAATGTGCTTAAAAGCAACGCCAAAACAACATATCGGCAGAAAATCGATACTAATTCTTCGTAGTTGCACTTGAATTTGTTTCTTTGAATCCGGACAGATACCCATAAAAAGCACACAAGACAGAATTTTTGTCAAAAAAACACATTTACAAAGTAACTTCACTAAATAACAGAATTGAATAACATGTAATAATAACTTTATTTAGAGCTATTTGTTGTTCGTTTAAATTTAATTGCTACATATGATAATAATTTATACTTTATTCAATACTTACGCAACAATGTTGACAAAGTAAAATAAGAGAATTAAAGACTTATCTGTGGCGAATCTCGATTATCTGTGGTGTATGATATAAATTGAACAGACCTGGTATATCGTCAATCATGGCGGCAAATTTTATTCAGACGAAACTCCCGCCATGCCGGACCGACCGACCGACCATCGGGCGACAACTGACCACTAAGCACGTGCCACCCCTACCACCATAGATTAAAGAATATATAGTTACTAGAAAAGGCATTCTGTTTTAATAAACATTTTTACTCACTTGAAATTCACACGTAAGGGTTAAAAGGAAAATAATAAATATTATTTAAATTTAGTTCACTAGTGATATAAGTTAAACTACATGGCGCAATTACGTCATTGTTTTACTAGTGCATATGTAATACCACAAGTTTTTATTTCGTAAAAGTTATTAAGATTAAATGCAATTAAAAATAGTATTCTGACCGCTCCATTAAATTTTCATAATTTTGTTTTCGTAAAATGCGGAAGATTGTACAAAATGTATGCACGAGCACGAATTTAACAGTTAACTCTAGTTATACAAACTGTAATAAAACAATAGACTATCTTCATAGACATTTGTTCGTTTAGAGGACGCGGGTTCATAACAAAATATGTTTTTGAAGGCAGCTTTTATTTAGAAGTCCTTCCGTCCGAATTGTTATGTTCTCCCAATACCACAAACCAGGACATGGGGACATTTTACACTTCACGCATAATGGTCCAAATCATCATTTTAGACTTGTATGATAGGATACTGGAAACTTGAGTTAGTTCCTCTTTAGGTCTTTGTTCGCTTTACTTTTTTGTTCCTTACGATATTCCCCACTCAAGTCAACCAGTAACGCACGACCTCCCCTTGAAATGAATATTCAGTTTGTGTCTACCTTTATGACATAAATAATGGCTAGTGGAGATCTAATTACACTGGCCAGAACATAATAATAGCTATTAGAATACGAAATATCGGTTTATGGCGCTATACGTCAATGTGAAAGCAGTGAAAGATTTTTAGGTTTTAATTTCGGTTATGTTTAGTACAATTTTAATTTTGAGTCTATACTACTACTACTCACTACTACTCTATACTTTTAACTATTTTTTTTTAAATTTTTGGTGCTCTGCTCCCAAAAATAAGTAAATTTTTGATCAATATATGAACGTTTAAATAGACAATTTATTAAAATTGAGAAAAAATTCCGACACGGCCGGACTTGATCCGATATCCAGCGCGTTTCGTGCTACTAATTGAGCTACCGTGTCTTAAAATTTTTTCTAACTAATTATATTTTGAATTTACACAATTCCTTTATGTGCACATCCAATAACTTGTGAAACATATTATAATAAATTATTGTTTTAAATGCTTAAAAAAATGTTTTTACTACCCATATTATCATCTTGAAACATTCAAGTAGAATAAGCTATAATTTATGTTTGATTAACACTCAAACATAAATTATAGCTTAGACTATTAAATGCAAAATTTCAATATATACGCCAGTAGTGATCAAATTCCTGCGTCTGGTAAGAAACACAGGACTAAATAGGCAAGACACTTAATTGGCGAACTGTTTATCCATTAACCCACGGAGACGTTGATCAAGTAGTTAATGCACTTAACTGTTGATTACGAGAAAAATATTAAAGTTTTCAAACGAAATAATATGAAAATAACCAAATTCAAATACTAAATCTAACCTTTATTTCTTTCCTGTTGGACTGTGTAATTACGTAGTTTTTAGTATGCATTGTCGCCTAAACAAAGGCCACCCAATATCCTAATGGGTGAAAGTCAATAACGAATTTATTGGTTTAGCGTTTCCTAAAAGCATATCAGTTATAAGTGTGTATTATAGGAAATAGTTATGGATACATTATTATACTAAGTATTTGAATTTTCAATGATACGAAATAAGTAATTTTAAGTCAAATCTCCCTTCCTGAAGGAAGGTAAAATACACCAGCTGTTGGTATAACATCTAAGCAAAATTCCTTGTTGACCTATTTTGGCTTCGGTTAATCGGAACTCTTTATTTTGTTTTAACAATTGTTTTGATTATACATCCTCAACTCTACTATTTTAAGTAACATTCAAATATTTAGTTTGGCCAATCATATTAAATCATTCCGTCAAAATTGTTAAATTTACAAAAATTACTTTAATCTTGACGCACCATCTTCTTGAACGTTCAGGTCGTAGGTTCGAATTTGTTCGACCAATTGTTTCGATCGGGTATGGCGCAGAAATCGGATCACCTACCTGCATAAAAATCGATCAGTGAAACGGACGCAAAAATGTGTTTCTCAAGCCCCTCAGGGGAAAACGGGATTACCTTTTTTACCTACAATCCGTGAAGCACGTTAAAACACAGATATGTATTTCATACAGAAGTATACTTACGCCCTAGTAAAAATGATTTATTTTCGTTTCGCATGCATTTTTCCAATAACACCTGAAGAATAGCACCCTTAGATCGTTAATAAGAGTAATTGCTTTAACAAGCAATCCATTAAACACTGTCTATAGTTTACGCGAGTAGTACACATTTAAATAAAACACTGTAACGGTTTAAAACGCGATATAAACTTATTTGAAAATGATTTTTAACTTCGGCCCGACGTTGCGGATGCTTTGCAGCAGCCGTGGTCACGGGGAGACATCCCCGTTGTCACAAATAAGTTTAACTAATATATCGCGTTTTAAACCGTTAAAGTGTTTTATTTAAAAACAATCCATTTATACTTAACGTAATGTGCCTTGATGTGCCAACTGTATGAAGTAAGTAAGGAAAGTGTAACCGTTTTATTTGTTACTACGAATAGCAGTACTCCACAGTAGTGTGTCTAGGATGAACGACGGGGCCCAGACGACATCGTGGGTAACAGATATAATTTATTAAGCTGAGTAGGTTGTTTACAGAATTAAATAATATGATCTGTCAAAATACTAACTTCGACGGAACAGATGGCGCTAGCGTAGAAATTTTGACTTTGACGTCAAAGACATCCTCCATCTTTAGTTTTCCCGTGACCATGGCTGCCAAAGCATCCGAAACGTTGGGCCGAAGTTAAACATAATTTTCAAATAAGTTTAACTAATATATATCGCGTTTTAAACCTTTAAAGTGTTTTATTTAAATTTTAATGTCTAAAATAACTATTCTACATGGACGAAGTCGCTGGCACAGGTAAACAATTATATAATTTTATTCATTACATATATTTGTGTAAATCTTTTCTGTTCTTAAAAAAAAACCTTTCAAGCGTTACTCATTTGTTATCAAGATCAAGGAGTAATTTCTTTTTCAAGTTCATTACCATAAAGGCTAAATTAATTCCAGTAAAGCTACAGAGCTATAAGAAATGACCTCGCCGTTTTAATGGACCGTAGTTATTGCGTGAAACCTTAAATGCCAATGAACTATTGGTTAAGATAAGGAATAGGGTTTAAAGTGTATATCTTAACACTTGGAGCTAAGCCAGGTCTTTTAAGCAGTTCTTTGTTATTAATTTAGTTACTTTATTGTATATAATCTACAAAAAAATATTTGATTGTTACCTGAGTATCCAAAAGTATAATATGTAAAGAGTAATTAACATAATTCATGTATAACATGCATTTCGTGTATAATCTATGCGTAATATAAAGCTGAAGAGTTTGTTTGTTTAACCGCGCTAATCTCTGGAACTATTAATTCGAATTTAAAATTTATTTTGTATTAGACCATTTATCAAGGAAGGCTTAAGGCTATAAAAACATCACGCTGCGTGGAAAAGCTGGGGAAAGTTACTCATCTTGGAGCACATTACTCTTTAAATGATGTAAATACGACCCCCAAAGTTATGCATTCTAACCTATTTGTTGGATAATTTAATATTAATCTTGCTAATAACAGAACAATGCTTGACTTTTTTTTTATTGGTGGCCAGTTTGTATTCAAATATGAATCATGTGTGAATCAATATTTTCATAGAACGGTATAGATACTGTTCTATGCTATGATATAGAATATCATAACATGTAAGCAACACGCGAGATCACTTATCTATGGTTTTACTAGCAAATTCCTTTATTATCTATTATATCTTTTTATTATTAAAAGAGGTACTTTTTTTATATCTCTTACATTATCAAAAGCGTAACTATCGGTAATTTGAATGATTGTGAAAAGGTCTACGAGATGTCGACGAGAAGCGACTAGAATATAGTATAGATAATAATTATATAAGTTCTACAAATTGACCTCCGCGAATGGAGAGAAGCGGTTGTTGTGATAGTGTTTTTCCCTTAGTGAGTGAACAACAGGATAACAAAAAACAATAATAGTGCTTTTAAATAAAACACTTTATTCACAAGAGTACCACGGCAGCTGCAAAACATTAAAAACGCAAAGCCGCTGTAAAAATATGTTAACTTAATATTTCGCGTTTTAATCTGTTAAAAGCGTTATTTAAATCTGTATTATCAGCGTAAACTACAGACAAACAAGTATTGTCTGTAGTTTACGCTGATAATACAGATCGATTTTTAGTTTTTAGTGTTTAACACTTTGCGAGTAGGAATCTCTGTACGAGGATTTTTCATTGAAAACACATGTTTCAATAATCTATTTTCACCAAGTAATAGTGAATATGTCATGTCGTCCAAGCTTCCTTTTTACACGTGTCTCAAGTTAATTAAGCTGTCTTACTATGTCGTGCTTTGTTTACCAGTAGAAAGTTAATCGCTCCAGTAATTGCTTCGCTACAACCTCTTTATTACACCTACATTATTTAGAGGTCGCGGTACTGCGTAGTTTAGAGTTAGTCTCTGTATATAGAACATTCTTTTATTGCCTGTCCGTCAATGTATGTGCATAATGACTCCTTTGTGACAGATAGCTAAAATAATAACGGACCGTTTAATTTGTTAAATATTATTTTTATATATTATTGTTTATTTGTAATTTATATCCTTGCGCAATATGTATAATGCGTTTGTTATAATAAGTTTTTTATAAAATTATGATTATGTTAACTATCCCACAGAACTTTGCTATTTTCAGACTTAAGTATTAGCTGCAGTTCACGGGTCTAATTTATATTAAAAAAAAAACAACATTAAAGGTTAAGACACGATTTATTTTAAATTGATTTATTATTATTTAGTAGCAGTTGTCGGGCTTACGGCTTCGGTTAAAAACTTCGCGTTTTAAACCGGTAATATGTATAATTAAAGATTATTTGCGTTTTATTCTACAGTAAAGTTCAGTGTGTTCAATTTATATGCTTCGTTACGATAGGTCAGTTTGTTTGTACGCCGTTACCATGACAACTGTATCGCCGCATCTCAACAATTTTGCGTGGCTTCGTTTCACGCTACTCGGACTTCGTTCGATGACCTTATTTTATTAGTTATAATTACTTCAAAAATTAAACCTTTTGATATAGAAGATATTAGATAAACATTTCTTACTTTAAATTAGAGTTTATAAACCGTTCATACCATGAAGACTTTAAGATTTTAAAGCTTCAGCCGTCATGATTAAGAAATTGTTCTCGGCTTTTCATCTTCACGAGCTGATGACATCATCAGATGATGTACGTTTCTCGTCTAAGTGAATACCCGACGATATTTTTTGGTTTTATGTATTCGAGAGTGCCATGAAATAAAAACTAAAAAAAACAATCTCCTTTTGTACACTTAACAAGGCGGATCTTTTATAGTACAGTCAATTGTTCTAGACAAAAGAAAAAAGGTAATTACAACGATATAAACCCAGATAACCCTAAAACTAAATTTCTCTGAAATTTTTGAAAAAATTTCCATTTTTTTTTTTTTTAGCTCCTCCGCCACAAAAAAAATTTTTAAAAAAAATTTTTTTTGTTTCCCCCCCGGGGGAACCCCCCCCCCTTTTGGGGGGGGGGGGGAAAAAAAAAAAAAAAACCCCCCCCCTTTAAAAAAAAAAAAAAAAAAAAAAAAAGGGGTTTTTTTTTTTTTCCCCTCCCCCCCCCCCCCCCCCTTTTTTTTTTTTTTTTTTTTTCCCCCCCCTTTTTTTTTTTTTTTTTTCCCCCCCCCCCCCCCCCCCCCCCCCCCCCCCCCCCCCCCCCCCCCCCCCCCCCCTTTTTTTTTTCCCCCGGGGGGGTTTTTTTTTTTGGGGGGGCCCCCCCCCCCCCCCCCCCCCTTTTTCCCCCCCCCCCCCCCCCCCGGGCGGGGGGGGGCCCCCCCCCCCCCCCCCCCTCCTTTTTTTTTTTTCCCCCCCCCCCCCCCCCCCCCCCCCCCCCCCCCCCCCCCCCCCCCCCCCCCCCCCCCCCCCCTCCCCCCCCCCCCCCCCCCCCCCCCCCCCCCCCCCCCCCCCCCCCCCCCCCCCCCCCCCCCCCCCCCCCCCCCCCCCCCCCCCCCCCCCCCCCCCCCCCCCCCCCCCCCCCCCCCCCCCCCCCCCCCCCCCCCCCCCCCCCCCCCCCCCCCCCCCCCCCCCCCCCCCCCCCCCCCCCCCCCCCCCCCCCCCCCCCCCCCCCCCCCCCCCCCCCCCCCCCCCCCCCCCCCCCCCCCCCCCCCCCCCCCCCCCCCCCCCCCCCCCCCCCCCCCCCCCCCCCCCCCCCCCCCCCCCCCCCCCCCCCCCCCCCCCCCCCCCCCCCCCCCCCCCCCCCCCCCTTTTAATTTGTAGCTAGTAGCCATTCTTCACGAGAGGGCGTTGTAATAAAACAAAGAAATTACTCAAATTGTTTATTTTTTCATAATTTAAAAACAAACATTAAATTACTTACCAGAAATCGTTACACAAAGTGTTATACCATAATTTACAGATTGGTGTAATAAATAGAAATACAGTTACACAAATCATTAAAATAACATGGCAGACAGACAGATTATTACAAATTAATACTGTATTCGACTTGTCTATGACAGACTAGTTATCTGTAACAAAAATTTGCGCCATAATTTAGTTAGTAATAAATTAAATATTTAGACAATTTTCCTTCATTCAGATCAGATATAAAACAATCATGGAACAAGTTCTTTAGTGGTTTAGATGCATTTATCAAGTGAAACAATTTTTGGTATCAGGAGCTTTAATTACAAACTTATGGAAATTACCAAACTACAAATGTGTAATAAATATTTGTAGGTTTGTCGACAAGGCAATGAAATTAATGTGAATTTGTAATATTGATGTTTGTAAAAATACGCTAAGGGAGCAAATCTCTTCCTCTTTACAGAAAATACTAAATCTTTAAAGAACTAAAAAGTAAATGCGAGGACTATTATTGGCACTAAGTATTAGAATTATCGTATTTTGGAACGTATAATTAGACTAAATAAAGATATAACTAATTATACTTTTAGTAAAATGCCAATATAATGTACGACTCTAGTTTTTCTAAACTAAGAAGCATAATTAGTTTAAATAGAACTTTGTTAGTTACGATGTTAAACTTACTGACTAGGTTACACTAGCTACATATAAAAATTCTTATATTTATCACTTAAACGGTATCAGATACAGGAATACAAACTACAGGTGGTTAAAATAAAATTACTAATCTAAACGTTACAAATAAACGGATTAAAACGCGATTGATTATTTAGTTTTGCGCTCTGGGTGCTTGCAATGTCCTTCGGATCAAGGTTAGGAATATCATGAATATATATCGCGTTTGAAACCGTTGAAATTGTTTAGGATTAAAATACAGTTTTAGTAAAAGAAACACTCGTACAGAAAAAATTACTAGCATTGACAGCCTAAGACTTAGCACACACCGAACAAACATAAGGTTCGTTCAATAAATATTTCGTTGTTACGACTGCTCTTGCAAAGAGTAGAAGAACTGAGGCGATCAACATTACCATCAAAATATTAGATTGATGTTAGTTAAAAGACGCTTAAAGTCGCAACTATTCACCAGAAGATGGCGTTGTTACAAAACGGGGAAGTCTCGAAAACGTCTTATTTCATTACATTTCGGATGTTTTTTATGTATGAACCGCTTCGAACACCTAAATATATTTTAGGTATCTGAACACTATACTAGACTGTTTAATCTCGTTACTACAAAGCGCTTAATTACTATATTATACTTAAGAACTCCGAACTAAGTACAACTTGAAGATAATTTATTGGAATAAGTGAACAATGTGCAAATTCTAAAAGGTGGAATGGGGTTGTAACTTATAAACATATACAGTTTACAAATGAGTTTCTTTATTCATAGTGTATTCTAAATTTGCAACCCCAATCTGCCCTTGATCACGAGTTTTCACCTCTAGCATGAGTTAAATATTGTCTGGTTTACGCGAGTAGTAAATTTTTTAATAAAACGCGAAATTTATTAGTTAAAACACATTGGTCTCAGTCTTCCCGTGACCACGGCTGTTGAAAGCATCCGAAACGTCGGACTGTACTTAAAATAATTTGCAAATAACTTATATATTAAACCGTTAAAGTATTTTATTTAAAACTAGCATGAGTTATATTTTAAGTATAACTACTAAGTAGAATTGAAATACTAGCAAATTATTAAAGGAAAAACCGATTAATATAGAGTATAAAAACTCATGCTAGGGGCAGAGCTGTGTCATCTTTTCCACCTTAACAATCACCAGATATTTCGCACTGGCCGCGGTATAACCGCTGGAACTGGTGGCGGCATCATGTCAAACTCTTCAACTATCGTCTTTGGGTGCAGCGCGCTAATATTATTATCCATCGTATACGTTCTTGCGTGGGTGTGGACTATCGCTGGTGGGTCGTTTACCAGCCAATCGTCCTTCTCGCGGAGCCGTTTCTGTCGGGCCAGTTGCCTGTCTCTGAGGTGTTCTAGTCTTGAGAGGTGAGCCTTGATTTGCTGAGGGCTTAGACCCGTTCTGCCGGAGAGGAGGATCTCTGCGTTGCGTTTGTACGAACCTTCTGGGTCGCGTCTATTCCAATGGTAACTGGAAAGAAGAGAACAGAATTAAATCAATACTCATTGTCATATTTAAATAAAACACTTCAACGGTTTAAAACGCGAAAAATTTGGTGAAATTATTTACAAATTATTTTCTAACTACGATCTCTCCGTGACTGCTGCTGCTAAACAAGTGAAACTAATAATAACGTAACGTTTTAAACCGTTAAAGTGTTTTATTTAAATGTGTTTCATTTAAAGTATGAAAAGTTGAGCTTATAATTATATTAAGCTAAGCTATACTATCAAAAAGATTCTTGAGATTATAAGTTGGAATCATATTAGTCAAAAGTATATTTAGAATGAAAAAAATTGATCATACAAGCGGGAGTTGAACCGGAATCCGCAACGTTCACAGCCGCTCTATTATTTATAGCAGCACGGAACGCTATGGATGCCGATTCAATGTAGATCAATTTTTTATTTATATAATGCCACGTCTATAGTTTACGCGAGTAGTACACATTTAAATAAACCACTTTAACGGCTTAAAACGCGATAGACTGTGTAGTCTCCCCGTGACCACGGCTGCTGCAAAGCATTCGAAACGTCGGGCCAAAGTTAAAAATCAATTTAAAAAAAAGTTTAACTAATATATCGCGTTTTAAACCGTTAAAGTGTTTTATTTAAATATAATGCCACGTGCACAACAATATATAGTAAAACTAAATCATTTGATGTCTATGTGGGTACTTATTCCTCGTTGTAAAGCCTGCTTACCCTGGGAACGGTCTCGTCAGCTTCCTCTGGGCGTTGGGCCTCGACCTCTTCCTCAGCTCATTCGGTCTCAAGTCGTATGCCTTAAAGTTATTCCTCATGGGATTCTGTCGCCTCTTCGGCAGCCTCCGCAAAGGGCTCGGCCGAAGGTCGTAGGATTTCGGATTGGGCACGGGGTTGCTCGTGACGTCATTGATACGGGGGTCATCGACCTCTCTGCTCACGCTGGGAGCCGTTATTTCGTTGATCTTGCCCATTCGTTGGTATCGACGTCGCAGTTCCTTCAGCTTGGATTTGGGTACTTTCTTCAGCTTTGTTTGGCAGATGAACTGGCGGGGCTCGTAGCAGCTGCGGGCTGCCCATCTGTATTTATAATTGGGTTTTAAGTTTAATTTTTATGATGATACAAGACAGAAAATGTGAATCGGTTAATATCGATAATGATTGTTGTTGTTTATTCAGTGTTATAATTTGTGTTTTATGACGATTTACTTTTTAAAAATTGGGTAAAGTTTTATTGAGATTGGTCAATCCGATTCAGCGTAAAAATGTACGAACACCAATACATCGCACACCTTTATCAACACAGCTAATGTCATATGTTTTATCATTTAGTCATTAATCACACGTAACCTTCGAAAAACAACTAAAATTCGACCTCGCCATTCAACATAAAGAGGATGAAATTCTGTACCCTTTTACGCAATCCTTAATATTCATTCTACTTGTTATTTTTTTTATGGTTAGATTAAACCTTCGATAGACTGAATTCCGACGTGCTACAAAATATTTACAATAAACGAATTTTTTTTTCCTTTAAAACATTTATAATGGACTTGTAATGACCGCAAAAATTGAACGTTCATTAGAATGTCGCGCGCTGCATGGCAACTTGCAAGGACCACACGAGTGGTCTTCAAAGCGCCGAGCCATTTAAAATTGCATTCGCATCGCGCGTTTGCATCGAATGTGAAATTTGGGACTGCACCGGAATGCATACGTAATTTTTATCTGCGCAGTTTATATAAGTTTGCTTTTCCCTGATTATTAAGTAATAAAAGGAGGAAGGTAAGTGCTACATTGCTACAATGAATTCCAAGTCCAAGAAGATTTACAAATACAAATATTCTTTATTTTCACAAAACAAAACAAAAAAAAAATTGATGATAACTAAGGATAAACGGTGACTTTATAGCTAAATAGCTATCTCTTCCTATCAACCGTGGTGGAAATGAAAATGATGTATAATGAAAATTCAGTGATAAAAAGAAAATTCGTGACAGGAGAAAAAGGACTTAACCTACATACTAAAACTTATAATAAACAATAATACAAAATGAGCTAATCTAAGAATCTTTAATTACTATCTTAACTAAGTTCCTTAATTAGGCATAAATAGTGGAACTTGATAAGATCTTAAAGGAAGAGAAATTCTGGGCTATTCTTATATTAGAAGGTAAACTGTTCCACAGTTTTATAGCTCTAACATGAAAGGATTATAGAATTATACAATCTAGTTGAGTAAGAAGGAAAACTTAGTCAGGCTTTCATCTGACCATATATTTAAATATATCCTTTTTTCCGTATATATCCGTTTTTATCTCTTTATTGTAACTCTAATTCCGCGACTAATAAATGTTGTATTCTGCGAACAAAACACAACTGGTGTGTGAATGAATGACATGTGAACGTGTTAATGAAATGTCAATTTGATTGACCGGAGCTCAATTTAGTTCAATAATACGCGTCAGTCTTTACATTCATGGTGACACCGCGCCGAATGTGTCCGCCCCTTACCCCATTTATGAATCGGGACTTCTTGTACATCAAAGTAAAGTATACAATATTGGTAAATTGATTCTATAATAATACATAGAATCTGCGTATAGTGTTTATCGGGCTCGTTTGTGAATGGTAGCAATGTATGGCTTATAACCAACGGGTCGTAGGATCGAAGAATTCGATAAATACCGAGTATAAACTCTTTATACATTTATAAATCTTTCTGAAACATGTTAGAAATCAACCGCCAAAAATGACTGCCTGTGTAGCTAAATGGTTAAACGTATTGCCTAGCATTGCATTTTGCGTTTAGTTGCCCTGGGTTCGAATCCCAGGGAAACAAAAAAAAGATGTTCCGGTCGGGTAGGGCACAGAAGTCTGATCAACTACTTGCCCGTTAAAAAAAGCGGATCAGTGAAACGGACACAGAAATGTGTTCGCCCCACGCCCCACAAGGGGGAAACGGGATTTCACTTTTTTTAGGAATAAAGAAATTCGATCCGGGAACCACCGTCTTAGTCGCGTTTCAGATCTGTGGTTTTCTGAAAGTCCAAACCAAAGTAGTTCGACAGCACATCTTGCGTTTATCATGCGTTTCATAGATATTGATTATCACAAACCTGTATAGAAGTTCCGGTGTCATAGCGATACAGTGGAACTGCAGTTCTTCGGGTGTCATCTTCTTCATTTTGCTGAAGGACTGGTAGTGCATCTGCTTCAATTCGCCACCCCACTTCCAGGCTTTAGATACGTAATCGTAAATCCCTCCAATCCATCTGCTGGCTTTGTCTGAAACATTATATCGGAATTATGGATATTTTCGAAGGTTTTAGAAGAAATGTTCCATCTTCAATCTGCACGACCAAAGCTACTGTATAAATCATCCGAAACGTCCGGTAGTACTTACAATTTAATAAAAAAAGTTTAACTACTATATTTCGCGTTTTAAACAGTTTAAAATCGTCGTCGTCGTGTCCTAGACCACATTCAAAATCTGCGTTTACCTTTCTGAAGTGAATTACAGACTATATACTATCTGTAGTTTACGCGAGTAGTACACATTTAAATAAAACACTTTAATGGTTTACAACGCGATATATATTAGTTAAACTTATTTGAAAATTATTTTTAAGTTCGGCCCGAAATTTCGGATACTTTACAGCAGCTGTGGTCATGTGGGATTGAAGATTGAACTTAATTTTATATCTAATAATAATGTTATACCGTTAAAGTGTTTTTTTAAAACCGATTAAAGTGTTTACTATTGACCTAAATGTGTACTACTCCTGCCAGTATTAGTCGACTATTGAGAAAGTAATTTATTGTATACAGGATTTCAATCTTTAAAACCTACACGTGTTATGGTAATAGCTGCCATCCAAATCCTTGAGAATCTCGGAAATTTCTGATCACATTTAAATTGCAAACGTTTTTTTTGAAATCATGCTCTATTTTGGTTTAAATAAGTTATACCTCATCTACTGCAGACTTTTTGTATTTATAGGTAATAGATATTGAGCAGGTAAATATTATTTGGTTAATTCAGTTACGATGACGTTTTGTTACTAGTATTGGGCGAATACATGTGTCCGTTTCACTAATCGTCTCTCTTCTGTTGTCTCGTCTATTTGTCTGTTGATCAGACTTCTGTGCTCACATTTGGCTACAGAGGCGGTTTATAGTAGTACTTTTTCTGCTTTTGTGAGATCCACATACTTACCAACACCAGGTCTGTTGAGGTAGTTCCGAAGATTCCTGTCCTCCCAACGCGCAGGCACTGACAAGTTACCGCCGCGATCCTGAAACAGAAGACAATATAATATATTAATCGAATGATCCTTGCGCAAATCCTTGGAAGCAATTCTACGCTAAGCCATAAACATTTTTAAATTGGGGTATAATAATACGGATTGAAGTAACGAATTTATTAACTTTTCTCCTTGGGTAGTTTATGAAAAAAAATATCCTATAAAACTATTATTCGTAACTCGTACAAACACTGTTTAATTGTTTGAAAGCTTCTTACTACTGTAACAAATAACAGGTAATATGCATTAATTTTGACCAAATTTGATGATCATACAACGAATATTCGAGTAGTACACGTCATGTTGTTGACATATGTACCTACTGTCGGACATTTTTTAGATCATTTACAGACGAATCATTCTTTGAAACACATTTTGGTTACTTGAACCGTTTTCGCAGGACACGCATCGGACGGCCCTCTAAGATTAATAATTTTGCCGGTTTTGCAACATTTTAATGCCTTTCTCGAGAAATGGTCTATCCAACACAGAAATAATATTTAAATTCGAACGAGTAGTTCACTGGGATTAGAATGTTTAAAGAAGCAAAGTCTTTTTAATATTAGTATAGATGCTTATGCATGTTTATAAAATTAAAAGACACAATATTCGTTTTAAAAATTGAAACACCTTGACTTGTCAGTACGTATGATAGGAATGAGCGATGCGACGTGCCCTAGTTTTTTGTTAAGGTATATTAATTTGTTTGTTAAAGAGTTAAATTACTACACGCTTAGTTCAAGTGAAAATTGCGCTTTCCTAGAAGATAAGCTTCAGAGTGCTTTGAAGAGAGAGAACGAAAGAACTTTCATTTTTGGAATACTGTCCAAAGACGAGCTTTTCGTGTTAACAGTAAGGCATCAATAAGTATATTTGTGTCATTTGTTTTGTGTGAATGATTCAATACTTGAATAATATTAACGGTTTTAAACGCGAAACATTTATTCATAATTAGATAAGTCATGATATATCTAGAACTGCTGCTTAACATTCGACAAATCGAGTCGTAGTCATATGTTTCGAATTTTATTTATGTAGAAGAAAAAAGCAAATACATATCAGAAATAGTATTGCACAGACAAATAAGGGTTTAAATGCATCCTAAACAGTTTTTCAGATTGTTACAAAGTATTACAAATCGTATATACCTTTTAAACCCTTGTGGTATACATTATATAGCAAGGATATAGCTTTGTAGGTAGAAACAGTTATAGTATTTATTGTTTTACAATTATGATATAAAATAGCTTAGCATATATAACTATACACTGCCAAAGACACTATAGTCGTATTTAACGACTAATAAACACGAGTTGAACAGACAAAATGTACAAACAACGTATTGTTCGTTACAAAGTTAACGTTATTTTGTTAGGGAAAGTAAGGAAGCCAACAAACGCAATAAAAGTAATTAACAATTTACAATGTTTACGCGGCATAAATATTGTGGTTGCGTGTTCGATTCTTGGTTCTGAACCTTTCTCTTGCATATAAATACACACATAAGTGCTAGGAGGCTGACAAAGTTTTGTGTCACAGATAAATTTATTTTCAGGCAAGTTAGTAATGAGGCACAGGTCAATCGCTTAAATATTGAAGAAATAAAGAACCTCTAAATAAAAACAAGTTTGGAGTTCACTTGATGGAAAGTGTAATATCCAAGAAGTGATGTGGAATTATTTTTAGGTGAAAAATCTATAACTTGACGATGTGCGTTTTAGAAAAAGATAAACTGATATAAATTGTTTGTGCTAGTTGGAATCGACCCCAACTTGTTGATTACTAGTCATACATTTAAATAAAACGCTTTAACGGTTTAAAACGCAATATATTAGTTAAACTTATTTGGAAATGATTTTTAACTTCGGCCCGACGTTTCGGATGCTTTGCAGCAGCCGTGGTCACGGGTAGACTGATAAAAATCATTTCCAAATAAGTTTAACTAATATATCGCGTTTTAAACCGTTAAAGTTTTTATTTAAATGTGTACTACTCGCGTAAACTATAGACTGTTTTTTTTTCATACATTGTTAACATAAGAAGCTATGATTTCTACCATTGCAAAGACCAACTAAAATGCGATGTTTATACTTTCTACAAGAACTGCAGTATGTTTCAAACAAATTGATTTTGAAATAGATTAAGCCCGGTGGGAACCGAACCCACTATACGTTGTTATCATTAGACGAACCGGTCAATCTTTCAAGGCAACCAGCGCGTCCCTCCAGTCTTCGAGTGGCATTAACATTCAAATGCGTCGCACATGATGTCATCTTGAGGTGGGAGTTCCATTGGTAATTGTCCTCAATTCACCACTTCTCAGAAACTAATAACCGATACTGTCGTAACTCGTAACTGTTCGCGTACAAACTTCCAAATTAACGTACTAATGCCTTTTTAGGCGCCAACTCATTTTTTTCTTTAAATTTTATTGTGTTACTATCATTATATTGTAAATTTTCATCTTCAAGATACAGTGAAAGAAATTGCTTTTTAGCGATAAGGCCGTTTCTCGCTACATTTGTAATATTCTTGTAGTGACGAAAAAGTATTTTTTATCATTACTGTAGCCTAACAAATTTCACTGCAGTGCCTGAAATTACGTTTTTAATGTAATTTATTAACAGTTACCTATGACAAAGTTGGCATGTTGCTGACCTTGACAAAAGAAACCCCTGACCGCCCGCTACTGAGCGTCCAAAACAAAAAAATCGCGTTTGAAACAGTTACAAGTGTTTTATTTTATGTCTCGTAATACTATACACCTAAAGCACAATGATATCATAACAAGCAATATAACTTTATTAGATAATAAAATGCAGGAACTTGCGTTATTAACCCACTTTATTTATTACAAACGTTCTTATAGCGCAGATGAATCATTAGGACAAAAACGTATACAATAATCTAATTTTAAAAAATGTAATCGTTATCATGGGAAAAATTAAGAAGTTCGTCTAACCAATTCGGCCAAATGCTGCTTCGGCAGTCCGGAACGCTGAGGACACCGGTTCTAGTCCTGCCTAAGTCGTAATTTTATTATTGATAATCGATTTTTAATTAATATTAAAGTTTTTAGATGTTTTAGTGTTTATTTCATGTGAGAGACGGTTAACTGCTTACTGCTTCCCCGTGACCATGCCTGCTGCAAAGCATCCGAAACGTCGGGCAGTAGTTAAAAATAATTTTCAAACAAGTAAAATAATATCGCGTATTAAACCGTTAAAGTGTTTTATTTAAATGTGTACTACTCGCGTGAACTACAGACAGTATTTGCTTACTGCTTGCTAAATGTTTTTTTTTATAATTGAGACGTGAACACAATTTAAAAGAATACACGTAACATAGAGATACATCTCTATTTCACCAACACTTGCGACCTTATCAAGCCACCGAACCGAATATATAAGAACATACATGGATATTATCTCCTTCAAGATGTAATATATGTAAATCGCATTGACATCATATCTTTAACCTGGCCCCGTATTCCGAGAACGCGTTATCAAAATTGCAATCACGAAGATCGTAAGTCATTCAGACTGTGATAAGGATTCCGAGAAAGGCTTGAGACGATTATGAGCACGGATTTATGGGTGCTATAAGAGATTTTCCCATTTTTAGGGTTCCGTACCGAAAAGGTAAAAACGCAATCTATACTCATATTGTAAAGCTGTAGAAGTAGTTTGTTTGAACGCGTTAATCTCAGTAACTACTGTTGTTATTTATCGAGAGAAAGGATTTAGGCTCTAACATCAAGGTGCAACGGGGGACTTTGGGTTTCTGTTGCGTGGGTTGCAAAAACATATGTCGATAAGACTGATACCTCTTTAAATGAACTAAATAAATGTCTCCGGTAAATATAAACCGTATAAATAAAACACTTTAACGGTTTAAAACGCGATATATTAGTTAAACTTATTTGAAAATGATTTTTAACTTCTCCTCGTGACCACTGTAAAGCATCCGAAACGTCGGGCCGAAGTTAAAAATCATTTTCAAATAAGTTTAACTAATATATCGCGTTTTAAACCGTTAAAGTGTTTTATTCAAATGTGTACTACTCGCGTAAAACTATAGACAGTATTTAAATGTAAACCGTTTTTATAGTAATTAAGTGTTAAATATGAATGCATTCAAATAAAAAGCCACATATTTGTTAGAGTTGTATCAGTATAATAATATTAATAGACTGAGATGTCGTCGTCTGTCGGTCTGTCGCCACCTCGTTGTATCAAAGAAACTTCTAGGTCGGGAGGTGAAATAGTGTAGGTTTTTTAGCAATGTAACCACAAATAGGTTCCCATAGCAAAGGTTATATAAAATTAGTGTACCTTATCAATAGTACAGAACCAACGTGCGCGAGCTCGGTTCGCACTTAGCCGCGTTTTGCTTATATTATGTATCATAACGAACTGCGCTTCGTGTCGTCACGTTGTTTAACCAACGACGGCGAAATCAAAAGGAAAGGTGTTGTCTATGTGTTAACGTCTTGTCGTAACAATTATGTTACCTTGTTGGATGATCGTTTTAAAAGCTTTCCTGTAAAACGCGATAGATAGTGAACTTTTACTAAAAAGCACTTAACATTTTGCAATTTAAAATTGATCATCTAATAAAGCTCGCGTCTTATTTAATACTAGCTGTGCCTGCGACTTTGACCGCATATACAATAGTTCTTTTGGGCATCAAATTTTTCTTTTTTCATACCTGCTTTGCTAGTTAATCTTAAAAGATAGACATATACTGTCGCGGACATTTTTTTAGATTATTTAAAGAGGAATCATTTTATAATACCTATGTTTTGAGTATCTTGAACCAGATTCGCAGCCTACGCATCGGAAACCCACAAAGGTGAATTTTCCCCCGTTTTTTATACTTGTAGTCCTTGATAAATGCTCTAACATAATACACAAATAATTTTTCAATTCGAATGAGGAGTTCCTGAGAGTAGCGCGGTTAAACAAAATAAGAAACAAACTCTTCAGCTT